TATGTACGAGGACTTGCCCTCGAGACAGGGCAAGATCTTTGTTAAGGATCGCACTCTCGTCCAATGTATGGCTTTTAGTTCTGTGTTAGAGACGCTATTATTTGTATATAGGTACGGACGACGAGACGGCAGCGATCACCCCGGCTAACCTTCAGCCTGCGATCGACGCTCTAGTTGCTAAGAGGGAGGCTGGCAGGGCTTTCGTGAGGCCTAGTGGTACTGAGGACGCTGTGAGGTAGTACTGTTTCACGGAGGTTCGGGTTATTGTGGTATTGTAGAATCTACGCTGAGGCTAAAACTGAGAAGGACGCCAATGAGTTAGCCTTTGAGGTGGCTAAGGCGGCTTATGAGATCGTCGGGGGCGCTGCAGGCAAGCCGAGTCCCTGTGCAGCTGAGTACGGTCTGTGATGGAAGTAAATGATGTTGATTGTTTAGAGAGGACTTCTCTGTACTGGTATATACCGTAATTGTTTCTATATGGTGTGAGTTCATGTTGTGTTGTTCTGTGGCAATGGGTACCATGGGATGGGATGATGTGTGCATCGCAGGCGAGGTTATCTTCGTGGTAATCGGAAGCATCTGGACGGCTTGGGAGCGGTACTTACTTGTCATGAGGAATAGTAGTAGGGAGATATTGTACGGGTAAAATTTTTCAGTTAGTCGAAGCTGGGACGATTGGGTTGTATATTGAAATTTGGTATTATTCGCGATTTCAGGAATATATTTGTTTCTGCGGTCTCGAGTAGAGGATTAACGATGTTGTTCTCGGCTGAAAGAAATTGTCGTTGGAAAAATAGATATGCCCTGGCTTTTCAGTAGCCTCATCCCCTGATCATCAGCCACTGCGGTTGGATGAAAGCTGCTTGAGGCTCCCGAGGAGGCTCTCCTCTTCAGTTGGGAGGCCGAATTTCAACAGGAGCCGTTTATTGCATTCCTGGAGTACACCACATTTATGGAGTTGTTACTGTCGTAGCATCTTCGTCCTTGCGTTATTGGGAAGTGTGGTACGGGAATTATATATAGCTATTCTTATCACCGTAAATGTCACCGGTTGTAGCCGGGTGGGATGGTGGGAAGTCTGGCGGTAGTCCTAACGATGGTGACGATACTGGTCTAGGGCAGACTGCTAGGACCACTGACACTGTATCTCATGGGCTCATGTAGGTAGATGAAGACGATGCTCACATGGGAGTGGTATTTGATCAGGCCAGCCTTGCCGGGGAACGGTGTGTCGAGTCTTGGCGATCGGTGCCAGGGTAATGATGCTCGATTGACCCCTAGGAGCTCCGGTGTTGGGGACTTATCGAGGAGGAGACGATCATTCATGGAAGGTGTTAGAAGGCGACCATCAGGCTTCTATAAGCCGACGGCGGCGGAGGACGAATTGCCGATAAATGATTTCAATGTTCATGGGTGAGTATG